GTTCAGCGTCAAGGAGAATTGTGGCATGCACAGAGTTTTTGAAGTTATAAAATTTTTGTGATAATGTCCTTACTACAAATTTTTTTCTGTGCTGGTGTAGTGTACTCAGGTGAATATGATATTTGTGGTGTTACTCTGAGTGTATATCCACACCGGGCGAGCTTGAAAAATATGCCCGGCCACGGTGGGATTTGAACCTACGACCTTTGGAATACTAGCCCAATGCTCTTCCAACTGAGCTACGCGGTCAGGACGGTTCGAGTAACTGATATTTCGGAACAGAATCTAGTTCCTTCGATACCAATGTATTCTAGTAATATGAATTTTTTTTCTGTGTTGGTGTAGTGTACTCAGGTGAATATGATATTTGTGACCTTCCTTGGGAAAACGTACGTTAACGATTTTGCATTAAAACGGGCAAAAAAACGGTTAACGAACGGATAGTAAACGCTTTGTCAAATCGTTTCAACGGATCATAAAAACGTTTAATTTAGACGTTTTGAGTAAAAAATACGAACGGTAAAGACAAAAAATTAAACGGCTCTACGAACGGCTTTAACAAACCGTTCGAACGAAATTAAGAAACCGTTCAAACGATATTCGGTAACCGTTTCAACGGATCTGCACAGAATGGTATAAAGCAGTGAACAATAATATACAAAAACGGGCAAGTAGGCTATACACTGATCCAGAATTAACCAACACACATTTATCCAAAAGCATGCGTATAAGCACAAAAAAATAGATCACTTTGGTGTTTATAAACGTTTCATCGTTTCAAACGTTTCATCGTTTCAAAAGATTTATCGATTTCCGTACCAACAAATTAAAAGACGCTAAAGCCGGAGACACGCGGCGGTGTTTTTGCATAACACGGCAAAGCTGATATACATGAGACTAAGCCCGTGACTTAAGTAAGGTCTCTACTGTAAACGCGACTATATATACGCAATCTGTTATATTTATAAGGCCTAAAACTAAACGTATAGTACCTGTAGCTATACGAAACAAGAACTAGAACCATTATCTGTGTTGATGGAACCTGTCGCGAGTGCTATATTGTCTCAATTATAGTAGATGGCTCAGTATCAAAAATCGGGTGTCCATTATAGCGTATTGGTAATTTCCTCTATATTAATGCCTGTGAAACACGGCACTGAGATCTAAAATGCTCAGTGCATGCTGAGTTAAATTATTGTTACTAATATTTTCCATAATTCATATATTAGTTAGCTCCGGAATATTAGGGAAAGATGCAGTCACAACGGATTTAATAGCGATAGGCCTATATATCTGTTAAAGTAAAAGGTCAACTGGTCAAGATGTAAAGGTATATAAACCAACTATAAACAGTTTGAACACCAAATAAACACAGCATGCACACAGCAATTAAGGTATATTGCAGAGTGCAGAAAGCAGAATAATGACGATATATTGGTATACTGAAATATTGCAGAGTGCAGAAAGCAGAATAATGAATATTGGTATACTGAAACATTTGATGCTCGCCTTAAAATGTACTCCATAAACATGTACTTCCTTGAAATGCACAAAATTCTGTGAATTTAAAGTCATTATATCACGCTAACTCACTTATCATTCATGTAGTGCTACATACATGCACGAACAAAAAGACGCTCACATATCCTATGATTATAAGCACGAAGTATTTGGCTTCGTTAAAGTTCGTTTTATAAGTAAGCCGATACCTTAATTTACATGTTATATATATTTGCTTGTAAATCTTTTATTCACCTACTTTCTTCCAAATATCGTGTGGTAGTTTATATAGTAGCTACATCTTTTTATATCAGCCTAATCAAGAAGACTTTATCGACCAATTCCCTATTAGCTATGTTTTGCGCAATCACAACATCGCTATTTAAAACGTCTTTATAGCATAAACAACTATATATATAAGGCTGTTCCTGACTGGAACGTTTGGAAATTCCGCGCCTGAGATTTTGAAAATTTAATAGTTTTGTAAATATAGAAAGTGTTAAAATTGCGCGGTCGATATCTCCGCCGCGCGATACAGACATTCCACACTGGACTGGCTGTTTTCCCCTATTTATTTTGGGAAATGCAAAAATAGCTTGGAACACCTTAATATACACAACCTTTCCTGGTGGTCTTCTATTTTATTTTATTTAAAGAAATCAGAAATAAATAATGATTATTGAATCGGCATAAGTAGTTTACCACCAGGACTACGCTAACCTTACGACGTCTTCTCACTTCTGATGTCGTCCGTTTTAGTAAAAGAATACATAATGTATCTTCGTCTTCCCAAGTAACGTA